ATGGAACTATTGATCCCTTAAGTACAGATCCGATTGTATTCCTGTTGAACTAAGCGGGCTAGCAAAGCTATATGTGTGTTGCTTTTGTATAATATACAACGGATCAATAAACATGCAGAAAAGTTCAAAGTTTACGTCAGGTTCTAAAACCTTTTTCTTCTGTATTTTTTATTCTATATTTTCCATTTCTTTTTTTACAATTGTAAAGTTAAAGAATGTTAAGCGTTAAAAAGAAATCATACGTGATATTGCCATCCTTAAAAATACAAAGAAAGTTTTATCTTGCGTGAAATTATTATTTGCCCGGTAAAAGCAATTAGTTGAAGCACTTTTAAATTATATTTAAAATAAGCAAGTTTTGAAATTTTGTTGAGTCTGTGTCTAAGATGAATGAACGTAAAAAATAAGGTACACATTAGGTAATATAATGTTGAATATTCTAGCTCACTACCGTTTTATAAACTTATTTCTTGAAAACCCTTCACATGAATCCTCCTTTATTTAACAATGTGTGCTTTTATGTAATTTTATCCATGAAATATGGTGCTATATCAGTCAAATATATTTCATATTTTTTTAAAATAAATATGAAATATAAATATGAAAGTGGGTGGAGTTAAAACTCATATTTATTTGAAGGGACTTCTTTCGCCATTTTGTTTGAAAAATCTGATAAATACAAAACAGCTTTTTGGTGAATTTTGCTTTGAAAACTATCTAGAATGACAGAAAATGGTCTAACTAAGACAATAATTCCGAACACCAATATCTTTAATTCAGTAATTAACGTATAGACGTTTAAACAGTTGTTTACGTGACGTCACAATGTAACGCCAAATATCGCGTGCAAAACAAGACGCAATGATATATTACTGCGCGCTGTAAAATTGCAGTTGTGTAGCGAGCATTAGGGTTTGTAACCATTTTCTTTCATAATGAAATTAAATAAAAAGGTTATTTTCTCGTTTTTCGTGAAATATGGTATATATTTTCACTCAACATGATAAAATGCCACATATTTTCACTCGCCGTCCCGGCTCGTGAAAATATGTGGCATTTTATCATGTTTCGTGAAAATATATTCCATATTTCACTCAAACGAAAAATTATCCTCTTAATATTAATTCACATTAGTTATTAGCAATATAACGAAAACAGAATATGTGTTTGACAAGCATTGATCGAAATAAAGAGATTGAAATGCCAGATAATTAGAAAATTAATGCGTACTGAGATAATTATTTGTCTAGACAACTGTTGCAATATTTTACAGTACGTTCAATCATATTAATCAGAGGTCATGTTTTCTTGTTTTTCATTTATATAAATTCAAATTTACATCAAAACAACAACTGTTGCTACCAAGCACGTGGATAACTTTAAGCACTCGCTCTATTGTTGATCTAGAATTGTACCAGGTATTTCATGAAAAAGTACAATATACTGCATGGTACTGCTGCCGATGCTCAATCCAAAAAAGGTAATTTAATCGTCGGTATATGATTTTATGGTAAACATTTTCACAACATGCTCACCGCTCAAACATTAATCTTTCAGATTGTTTTTGGAAAGTACAAGTTAATCCAATTCAATGCTTTTTTTATAAACGTTTTGCTAAAGAGCTCAATACTGTTGCAACATTTTCTTCCCAGTGTGGTGTCTCGTAGTGATTGCTCCTTTATATTCACAAATTGTATGCAGTTTTTGCGGTCGTTTGTATTAATATTATTTACAGTAATTCACATACTTGTTGCCTTCTTTTATTTGTTTTTAACCTATCAAGATGATTATGAATTCTAGCCAAACAAATGCTTTTTGCTCCTTTCCTTTGTACAAAATATATCACAATTTGTTATGATAGATTGTTATTTTAAATTGTTATGGTAAATTTGTGGTATGAAATAAGTATATTCCAAATAGTCTGTTCCTGATTTAAAGCAACTGTATACGCTTGGTACATTCATTTCAAATAAATTGTGCTTAGATTAAGACCACTATATACACTGAAAACGATTCTTTTAAATACTTTTTTTAGATTTTTCCTGATATAAGACAACATGATACGCTGGGTACAGTCAGTTCAAATAATTTGTGCTGGATTTAAGACCTTTTTGATCAATATATTATCGGTAAGTTAACTTTAATATATAATATGATTGTAAAATGTACAAGGTAAATAAACGTTTATTTGCTTAACATTATTACGAGTTCCCGTTCACAACAGCATATGTTACCAATCACGAGACAAACATAAGAAATATAACTGATCAGTTATACATGTATATCAATAGATCATACGATTTGTGAAATATCTTTGAACAACTTAACATACTTTCCTTTTTGTTGAGTTATTATTGTGCGTAACTATTTTATAACTTTAAGTACTACATTTCGTTGTTCAATAATTGTCTTTTATATCAATTTTATTACTGTCTGTTAAAATGGTTGACCCGAAAATAGAGATATACATTATGTGGTGTATTTTTCTTCCATCAACCATTGTAAGTCTATGCTAAATTCAAGCATGCCTTGTTGAAACTGTCTATTGTTAAAGAAAGTATTTTTACGCAACAAAAAATATGGAGTACTTTAATGTTCACACAGACTCGCAATGCTTTATATAGGTAGCAAAGATATGTCTTTTTCATAATTTGTTCATAATTTAAATAAACCTCATTTGCACACTGCTATAATAACACCCCCCCCCCCCTTCACAAGTAAGTCCTTACAAAACATTGTAAATGTATTGATATAGTTCTTACATTGATGCATTTAACAAGGATCTTTTCTGTTCGTGTTAACTCAAATATCAAAGCAGTCCCGTCTTGGTGATATCTCTTATTTGTTATCTGGAATGTTTTGGTTGTAACGGATCTTACAACCGGCGTATTTCGACCGGCTGTGTATCGCCATCTTTATTTTGTTTTAACGGCCTAATTCTTATTTTGATACGGCCTTTACCTGACATTAAATCCATGTGGAATTTCTAAAAGAATGTTTGGACGGAATATTGTACACTTTGACAAAAATATACTTTCAACTTGAGTACTTTAAATGTATGAACAAATTGCATACTGAACGCCAAATAAGAGTGTGTCTTAACATTCAGACAAACCCATCTCTTAAACGTATCATGCATGTCAGATTCAATATACCAGATATTGATCTGAACAGTGAACATACCATTACACATTGAAATAATAAAGACTTATAAAGATAAAGACTTTATACTTTATTGAAAACATGTTAAATAAATGGGCAAAATAAAATGAAAGCATTCTTAAAACGTTTGTATCAAGATCCGAGGTACTGGCAACAAAAATCATAAATTCCATCAAGTGCAGATGAACGGGGATAGTTGTATATATCAAATTTAAATATTTTCAGAAAATTTGTAAGTAAAATGGTTTTATAACTCAAACAAAACAACATGTTAAACATATTTGCCAGCTTTATCTTGTTTTTGTCCAAAGCTATATTTCTTATTAATCGTAACAGATTTGACATGACATTAAACGCAAAATATAAGTATCATTCGCCCGACAATAACAGCACGTGTTACTTCAATTTGTTTATAAGATTCATTAGTTTTATGATAACGGATTGAAACATTTGTTTCGTTATTAAGTTTCTACGTTCTTTATTTGTTTTTCTTTTGTATAAATTCTCCATGTCAAACGTTACTTCTCATCATAACACGTTGGATTTAAGATCAGGATAGAGGAGCCACTGCATCTTTGAATGTAAGTACTTTGATACTATTTTAACAGTAATTTTGTTTTTATAATCTTTTTCAGGCTTACTGACTGTTATTATAATGATATCCAACAAATAGATAGTTTTTAATATTTGATTTTTTTCTCTTATTTGCTTTTAAACGGTTACATGGAACTTTTTTTGTGTTGTACTTATTTTGTACACACAAGAGGAAACGCGAATTAGCATTGCGAATATTAAGACTTAAGCTACAATATAATCATATTTTATTATCGCCATCACTTATAGACATATTCATATTCAATTAATGTTAAAATCTCAAAATATTGTTCACATTTTCATTATATCAATAAGCAAATTCAGGATACAAGTTTATAATAAAGTTACAAGATGGTATAATCTTAAAAAATGTATCCAACGCTACAAGCAACATTGATCTGTCATTTTTGACAATTTAAGATATATAAAAGGGGATATATTTAAAGAAATGGAAACACAGTTGCAAGACATTACTTCTATTATTCACGAAAATCTTAGTTTTAAAAAATTAAATGATTTTGCAAAACATTGTCGAATGTACATAATGAAGTATTGTTAAATTAATAAATTTCAAAAAAATGCCTAAGATGTATTTTTAAAGAGATGTTTCAATAATACAAACATTGTCGGCTGGAGTATTAAAATTATTATAAAATAGTTAGTATAAGCGCATCACAGATTCGCAACAGCTTGTTAATTAAATAATCATTTTTTTATTAAAACATAAACATTGATATAATGGGAACAAAACTTTGATATTGCAGACTTGAGCGTTTACTATTTAACGAAACTTCATGTGCAAACTAATGTGGTAGATGTAACTAGTCAAAAACATGCTATTCTCCGTCTTATTTTTTTTTTGGCAAAGGGATGAAATTTTAATGATAAAAGTAGTATATAATTTTTAAATATACATTGTATTTTGCATAAGACTTGGTACCGAGGTTATAGCGAAATATTCTTATCACAAACTTAGATCAGGTATTTGATTTGTAAGAACCACTACAGATTGTGCACTAACCAATGAAAAGTCTGGGATTTGAGACACATCTCATAAATGGTTAATCACCGCGAGGGTTGGACCGTGAATACTTTTAAATGTCTTCTACATTACTGTATATATTTATTTATTTTTTTTTTTTCAATTTATTTAAATCGACCTACTGAAGGCGTCTCCCTTTAATCTGTGAACCAATGATTGTTATATGACAATATTGAAGTGTAATTATGGATAATCCTATCATTTTTTAGCTTTCAAATAACATTTGGTTATTGCTGAGTGTCAAAAGATGTTCAAAGGATTTATTTTATTAACGGTAAGTATTTCATGTCGTTAAAGGCAGATTATGCCTCAGAAATAAATACTTTTTCATTCTTTAAAATAGTTTAACATGAGTTTCATAATGTTCAAATTATGATTTTAGATCATTTTTGATGCATATATTCTTAAGAAAGTAGCGCTTAATGTGATTAAAGAAACAAAATGTAAACATAGTAGTATTTTGACTTCCATTTAAAGTATTAACTCACCAAAGTTTTACCCATTGCTGAAATGTTACAACTGCACAAGGTGTTTCAGGTATTTGACCATTGAGTAACTTTTAAAAACTGTAGTAGTGCACAAAAAGCTTTTCAGAAATGAAAACAAAAGTATTTCTGGGCCATAATGAGGTCAAGTTCTGTTACTGATTACCAACATTATGCAGTATCGCCACTGCTAAGTAAAACCATTTGAGAGAAAATTATTTCGGTCGTTGCGTAGAGGGGTTGCTCTAAAGAGGTTAAAAGCAGTGGAAACCTTTAATTGGTGGAAATAATAGTGTTGTTGTAGAGGGAATTACTCTTCTGACGGCTGGTCTGCAAGGGTCATACTTTATGTATAAATCATGTATGATTTTATTATTTATAGTGACATACTAGTACTTTTTAAGTACTTAAACATTCATTTATTTGAAAACAGTCTTTTGTAATCTTGATATACAAATACCCATAAAAGAATTGACACCGATTTTACAAGATTCTATTCTCAAACACAAAAAGCTTGACAAGTTATTACTAACAAAAATTAAAAGGGAAATTATAAAATCAAAAAAGGGAAAAAAAGAAATAAATTATAAAAAACACTAAAAATGACTTTGTACTCTTACCTGACGCAGTTTATTGTTATGTTCCTTGTAGACTATTTTACCATTAGCATATGGTATATGGTGGGCCAACGGAACACCATATTATGGAAATTGTGATTCGCATGTAGAGGTAAATTCAATACTTTGCAGCTAGAGCGCATGTTTCAAGTGCTCAAGATAGTTTGATAGCATTCAATGTAGCTTAAATTTGCTTTGAGAGCACACACAATTAATTACCTGTAAATGAATTGAATTATTCAACTGTTTTGAGATATATCTCGTTTCGCTACTTTTGTACTTAAAAAATGTTAACAAAATGCTAACGTGTCAATGAATGTTAATTTTGAAACAATTTAGATTTATGAATCTTATGTTATTTAAACAGTGCCCTAATGATACTGCCTGTTTGAGGCCAGGCTTTGGCAGCGCTGATAGCTCGGCACAGAGGAAATGTTACCGATGTGTGTAAACTACATTTATTTATTACATAAAATGATAACAAGTATAAATAGTTTTGTTTACTAGTATTCAAATTTATTTTAGTACGATTGTTTTGGAAGCTATAAGCTTATTGAAACACTCTCAAATTCGTTCCTGGAACTTACCAATACTAAGCAATAGATGTAAAGTTTCTTGCTCAAGAAAACAACGGCTTGCCCCTGACAGGGTTTGAACCCACGCGGTCAGCAATCCATAGATTACTGGTGCAATCCTAAGATTTACAAGTCCGACACGTTAACCACTCGGCCACGCTGTCACCAAGCCATTAGATAAGTTTAATCATTGTGAATTGTGATTAAAGTTACATTTAATCTTAACTACCATTGACACCGTACTCAAATAAATGTTGAAATTGTGCATTTTTATCTTAAACATAAAGGCATTCAAACCCTTTGTAATTAAAGGCTTATGCATGGAACAGGAACAGTGTTACTTCAAAAGTAGGAGGTTTGTTGCCTGTAATTGTACAAATTCCGGGTTCACAGGATGTCACTGCCAAAGAAGTAAGAATCGGATATCATTTTGACGTTGGTTATTATCTAATGCACATCAGAAGGTTACAAACAACCCATATTAATCGATATACATCCAAATTAAACAACAATTTGAAAGGATCAGCTTGTGTTCATAACTCTCTTTCTTCATTATAGTATTTATTTTACGCAGTCACTTATATTATTGTTATTAAAAACACACTTTTATCTCACAATACTTGCCCTTAACAGACATTGACAACTGTCAGCCAAATCCATGCCAAAATGATGGCACGTGTACAGATGGCATCAACAACTACACATGCACGTGTCCAGAAGGATACTTTGGTCGTGACTGTGAAAGTGTGTTAGTGGAGACATGTGAAGGCGATTGGCAGTTGTTCAAAAGTAGCTGTTATTGGCGCAGTTCAAGTGCTCTTAATTGGACAGCGGCTGAGGTAAGAGTTATATTGGACCTCAACACCATAACACTACCTTTTTCATAAAAGTGTTGAACTGTATGATATGACTGGAGAATGCATTTTTATTTTTGAAATTTATTTATTCTTTCTTCTTATTTATTTTATTTATTGATTTATCTTCTATTTACACTTGTAAATTGAATATTAATTATGTCATTTATTCATTTATTTGTTTATTTATTTATTCATAATTTATTCATTCATTGTTCTTTTTTATTTATTCATTTATCCTTTACTTATTTTATTTATTTATTTATTTATTTTTTATTTATTTATTTATTTATTTATTTATTTATTTATTTATTTATTTATTCACAATTTATTCATTCATTGTTCATTTTTTATTTATTTATTTATTAATTCATTCTTTCATTTATCTAACTTTCTATCTAATTTACCACTTAATGTTTTTTCATTAATGAATTTGTTCCAAAGCAGAATATGTTAATGATCTTTGACTTAGATCCTCACAATCCTTTAGCATTCTAATTGATATAATAACCTTTACATCACTTATTACTAGTAAGCTGTTTATGCGACTAGGTTAAGCAACTTGGCTGTATTGAGTCCTTCGTACAGGATTATATATACCTTATGACAAATTAAATTTGAATGTTCAAAACTGGTATTTATTTCAATAAGCAATAACAACACGTTGTTGTTGCTGCTATTCGAGGGGTTTGGTTTTATAAAGGACGGGAAACACACATACACACACGCACACACACACACACGCACACACACACACGCGCGAAATAACGCACAAAACGACAAGATTGGAAATGATGTAGACTCCGTTTGATTGAGCCTGATCATGGACGGTTTTGGAAAGTGTCAGCTACCGTCAACACCCCTAGCACCTACTTAAGCCTGGAGTAAAACTGACGCTTTAAAAGTCGTGAGAAGACTTTTAAGTTCAGAAAAGCTTACCGTGTAAAACATCTTGTTTACCTCTATGCATCATTTGGATAAAAAACGTAATAAGATTTCCTGCTAGCGGACCCGAACAATTAACGGCGACAATTTTTCATTTAAAGACCATTTATGCCTTAGAAATTCTATAGATTCTAACAATTCTATAGAATAAAAAATAAGAATTTCGGAGGTAAAATGTGCTTTTAAACAAAAAAACCTTTCCCATGCCAGCCAGGAATATTTATGCAAACAGAATGATCATATGGAAAATAGAGGCATTTAAAGACTTGTTATGCCTCTTTTTTTTTCTTTGTTGGTAAATTATAGTCATTTGACATATAGATGGACTAGGTTTTGCTTCTTTTGCTCTGGTAGAATTTGTATAACTTTTATTTAAATGACTAAGTATTTAGTATGGAAGTCAAAATACTACTTCTACCTTGATGACACATGACTGCATACCGTTATAACATATGACTGCATACCTTTATGACACGTGAATGCATACCTTTATGACACGTGATTACATACCTTTATGACACGTGAATGCATACCTTTATGACATATGATTGCATACCTTTATGACACGTCATTACATACCTTTATGACACATGACTGCATACCGTTATAACATATGACTGCATACCTTTATGACATATGACTGCATACCTATATGACATATGATTGCATACCTTTATGACACATGACTGAATACCTTTATGACACATGACTACATACCTTTATGACACATGACTACATACCTTTATGACACATGACTTCATACCTTTATGACACATGACTACATACCTTTATGACACATGACTGCATACCTTTATGACACATGACTTCATACCTTTATGACACATGACTACATACCTTTATGACACATGACTACATACCTTTATGACACATGACTACATACCTTTATGACACATGACTTCATTCCTTTATGACACATGACTGCATACCTTTATGACACATGACTTCATACCTTTATGACACATGACTGAATACCTTTATGACACATGACTGCATACCTTTATGACACATGACTTCATACCTTTATGACACATGACTGCATACCTTTATGACATATGACTACATACCTTTATGACACATGACTTCATACCTTTATGACACATGACTACATACCTTTATGACACATGACTGCATACTTTTATGACACATGACTTCATACTTTTATGACACATGACTGAATACCTTTATGACACATGACTTCATACCTTTATGACATATGACTACATACCTTTATGACACATGACTGCATACCTTTATGACACATGACTTCATACCTTTATGACACATGACTACATACCTTTATGAAACATGACTGCATACCTATATGACATATGTCTGCATACCTTTATGACACATGACTGCATACCTTTATGACACATGACTTCATACCTTTATGACACATGACTACATACCTTTATGACATATGACTGAATACCTATATGACATATGACTGCATACCTTTATGACACATGACTGCATACCTTTATGACACATGAAGGCATACCTTTATGACGTGACTGCATACCTTTATGACATATGACTGCATACCTTTATGACATATGACTGCATACCTTTATGACATATGACTGCATACCTTTATGACATATGACTGCATACCTATATGACATATGTCTGCATACCTTTATGACATATGTCTGCATACCTTTATGACATATGACTGCATACCTATATGACATATGTCTGCATACCTTTATGACACATGACTGCATACCTTTATGACATATGACTGCATACCTATATGACATACGTCTGCATACCTATATGACATATGTCTGCATACCTTTATGACATATGTCTGCATACCTTTATGACATATGACTGCATACCTTTATGACATATGACTGCATACCTTTATGACATATGACTGCATACCTATATGACATATGTCTGCATACCTTTATGACATATGACTGCATACCTTTATGACATATGACTGCATACCTATATGACATATGTCTGCATACCTTTATGACACATGACTGCATACCTTTATAACATATGACTGCATACCTATATGACATATGTCTGCATACCTATATGACATATGTCTGCATACCTTTATGACATATGTCTGCATACCTTTATGACATATGACTGCATACCTTTATGACATATGACTGCATACCTTTATGACATATGACTGCATACCTTTATGACACACGACTTCATATATTTATGACACGTGACTGAATACCTTTATGACACAATGCATACCTTTATGACATATGACTGCATACCTATATGACATATGACTGCATACCTTTATGACATATGACTGCATACCTTTATGACATATGACTGCATACCTTTATGACATATGACTGCATACCTATATGACATATGTCTGCATACCTATATGACATATGACTGCATACCTATATGACATATGACTGCATACCTATATGACATATGACTGCATACCTATATGACATATGACTGCATACCTTTATGACATATGACTGCATACCTTTATGACATATGACTGCATACCTATATGACATATGTCTGCATACCTATATGACATATGACTGCATACCTTTATGACATATGACTGCATACCTTTATGACATATGACTGCATACCTATATGACATATGTCTGCATACCTATATGACATATGACTGCATACCTATATGACATATGACTGCATACCTATATGACATATGACTGCATACCTTTATGACATATGACTGCATACCTTTATGACATATGACTGCATACCTTTATGACATATGACTGCATACCTTTATGACATATGACTGCATACCTTTATGACATATGACTGCATACCTTTATGACATATGACTGCATACCTTTATGACATATGACTGCATACCTTTATGACACATGACTGCATACCTTTATGACACATGACTGCATACCTTTATGACACATGACTGCATACCTTTATGACATATGACTGCATACCTATATGACATATGTCTACATACCTTTATGACATATGACTGCATACCTTTATGACATATGACTGTATACCTTTATGACATATGACTGCATACCTTTATGACACATGATTACATACCTTTATGACACGTGACTGAATACCTTTATGGCACATGACCTCATTCCGTTATTATACATGAATGCATACCTTTATGACACATGAAGGCATACCTTTATGATACATGAATTCATGCTCTGCGCCACATTTCTTAGTTGTTTAACATCACATAAGCTGAAAATTAAGTATTAAATAGTTTGAAAACATTAACTTAACAATTTTATAGAATATTGAAAGTTTCAAAAAACATTATTTGTAAAGATATTTCCATATAGATAAAGGGATAAGTCTAAGCAGCCGTTTGTTGGGGGTTTTTTCTCATTAATTTAACTTTTAATTATAATGTATTAAAATTTACTGCAATTACATATTTAAATATTCTTTGGTGTTTTGAAATCGTTAAGAAGAATAATTATATACTTGTATAAAACTTCAATTTAGTGACATCACTAATTACAACATACAGGATCTTTCATAATATTGACAGGATGATTGTGTTGCTATGGGAGGACATCTTGTGGAGATAACAAGTTTTTCAGAGGAAGACTTCGTACAATCACTTGGCCCAGGAGCATGTAAAATTTGTCATTTTTGCAAATAATATTTTCAATGTGTATTTCTCTGACAATCATTTGTAAAGCACGAGTATCGTTGTTAAAAAGAGAAATACATGTATATAAGTATCAGGTCTGTGTTATGAGAAAATTTATCAATGTTCTGTGTAGTGTATATTTTTTATGAATCTCAATAATGCTAGGGCATTTAATATTAAATAAAGTCATTATGGCGGCATGGCCCAGTTGTTAATGCGTCGGACTAGTAATCTTATGATCGCTAGCCGCATGAGTTCAAACCCCGTCAGGGGCATGTCGTTGTTTCCTTGAGCAAGAAACTTTACACACATTGCTCATTACTGGTTGGTTCCAGGAACGGATTCGAAAGTGAGTCTATAAGTTTATAGCTTCCTACACAATCGAACTAAAATAAATTCTGAATAAACCGAATGAAGTCATATGCTCTTATAATGACTTATATTGTTTTATGTTTTCTGACAGCTTTCATTGGATTAAATGATATAGAAAATGAAGGCGTGCATGTCTGGGTTTCATCAGGAAATCTCGCGTCAGGAACGTTCACAAACTGGAAAAACGGTCAGCCAGATAACGTCGATGGTGGGGAAGACTGTGTTGTAATGGCCGCTGCAGGACAATGGTTCGATGTACCTTGTTCGCTGTCGAGAATGTACGTCTGTGAACGCCAGACCATATGTATGTAAATTTTCTAATCAATGTCTTGTAACTATTTGTTTTGTTAATATAGATCTACTTAATGTTATTGTTGTTGTTTATTTTTTGCTAATTACGAAATATCAAATCAAACAACTGTTTGGTGATTTTTTTAAATTTTGTTATTTTTACAGTTGTCTAACCAATGGTATCGAATCGACTTTGACAAGGACAAATGCAAAACTGCAAAATCGATATGTTATTCTCAACCAGACAACTAAAACAGCTAAAAAAAGAAGATAAACCACCCAGAGCTTTGAATAATTGCAAAAATCACACATGCAAGAAATAATTATTAGCATATAATCTGTTTATTATTTTTCAAAACACGAAACATGTATTTAACGATGTATTTTTGGCAATTTGTTTTCTCCAATAAAATGATTGTTTGATGATTAGCTAGTTAACCAATTATAAATAGGGCATACAATCAATAATAAAAATAAGTATAGTAAATGTGTAAATTTGATTCATTTGTCTACAATTAAAAACATGATTTGTCTACAATTAAAGCACATGTTTGTTTCTGTTAGATTCGGGGTTTTTTTGCACAGCATTTAAAGATTTATTTCTTATAATCCCAACCAACAACAAAAGAAAACATAAAAAACCTGTTATCAATATAAATAATAAATATTAGAATTTTGTGCTGCTTTCTTACACAGACTGACAGCATATCTCATTACTCAACATTAGGAAATAGATATTCGTATTGAAGCGATATCGTTCCTATATAAATCGTACAGGTCTAGCTCTTGCATACCGTCTCATCGGAAACCATATTTGTGCCATTTTGTGTTAAAAATCCTTTGACGCATAACAGAGTTATGGGCAAGAGAAGATTGTTTTAACTGCTGACGTTTTACTTCGAAGTTAGACATTGACGTGGGAGCTACGGGTTTGGGTCTTGTGCATGAGACACTGTCTCACCATGCTACGCATTTGTGCGAAGTTCTTTCAAAATCCCTTGATGCAAGTCAAAGTTATGGGCCAGAAAGTATTCTCTACATGCTAACATTTGACCCTTAAGTGTGACATTGACCTAGCTTGCAAAGGTCTTGGTCTTGCGCATGACACACCGTCTCTTTTGTCATATTATTATGTTATTTTCATTGTTTCCTAGGGATCATCCCCTTACTTGATTATAAAATGTGATGTATTCCCATCCAATTAAAACTGGTGAAAACGTTAGCAGGTAAAAAGATATGATAACTTGACCTTTGTCATAAGTGCACCCAATGTGATTTTTGGTACGAATTAAAAATAATTTATTCACGAGACAAATGAAAATATCCTTTATATCATTCAAAAGTTGACCAATTGTCAATGGGTAGATAAAGTTGATCATTTATTATGCATATAATATCACTAGGTGCAACAGTTAGTTTAATATTTGAATAACACAAAACGGCAAAATTCAAAATGTTGCAGACTCGGTTTGATTGCGCCTGTTCATGGACGGTTGTGGGAATTGCAAGTTACAATCCCCTGGAACCGGCTTAAAAATAAAGAGAAACAAAGAATCCCTACAAATAGCACAAAACGACAAATTGAAAATGTTTTACACTCGGTTTGATTGAGCCTGTTCACGTTTAAGCCGAATTAAACATCAATCATGAACTTGTAAAATTTAGAATTTTGAAACATCCGCAGATGTGCCCACTTTGCGGTTATCATGGAACCTTCAATGTGACACGTTAAATGCTATGCTTTAAACCGCATAAATCTTTTTTTCAGGTTATGACGTAGTGTTGATAGACAATTTGATAGGAAATACCTTTAGTTTCAGTAAAGGATTAAACACTGTTTTGTAAATTCTTTTTACTCAAACTACGATTTTATTATGTAACAATGATGTCCGATAAAGACATACAAGTATGAAGAACTGGTTAATCAAAAGCTTAGGCCTGTATTGCCTATCAATACTATATCACAACAAGAAAAGTTTGTTTTAACAAACGAAAGGAAAGTGAGAAGCAATGTTTCTTTTCTTTGTGATGAATTTGTATGTATCCAACAATTTGGGACAGAAAGATACACTGAGACTGCAAATCGATCTATCGATTTGGATTGGACAACAACATAATCACTGAAAAGAGAGCGCGAGTTACATGTACCGTGCATGTTTCTGTCCAACATTTTAGTCCCAGACAACAATTTACAAAATAAATATATATTCTCTGATAAAAAAAATCAACAATTTCATTTCTGCACTTGTTTGTCGGTGAACATACATGATCGATCAATATTATACTATAATAGGCCATACCGGAAGTGTAAATGTTCACTCTATACTCCGGTCAAAGTCACGGTACAAAAACAAATGATGATCGTTTAAGAACATGCGGTAGTTAGGCAAGATGATCATTTCATGGGCTTATATTGATTAGCGCTATAGCAAGGCACATACTTTTATGCATGTGCGTATAGAGGCTATTCGTTGCCAAAAATCCAGCCTTTGAAACTTGACAATGCATACTTCGGTGCTACTAAACAGATTAGTAAAAATCTAATTGTCGATCCGAGAGTTACATACTGCACTGGTATTAAGCATTTTGATTATCTCGATTTGATAAAATGAAAGATGTGAACATGCAACTTAGATAAATTGCAAACTGTATTTATAAATGTATAACTTCAAATTTGCGACATGTAGAAATGTAAACGATAGAACGTACATAATACGTTTAATGCTGTGCATCATGACATTGAGAATGTAACTGCATCAACTTGACACACTCAGGTTAACAACACCACACTTTCCTTTTACATTATAACGCGATTAACATTTGTGAACGATTTTGCAACTTCCATATATGGAATTATCACGGAAATAGACGAAAATTAATAGGCGTAGCCAATTTAACGAAAGCAGAATATAAAGAGAGGTAACTCTTGCTGGTACAAAAATATTTCAAATTATATAGAAACTGTTACATCAATCTTGTCTTTGAACATCCTCTGATTTTGTTAAAACGTATTCTAGAACAGGATATTCAAGTTATGCAAAATTGGTTAAGATATAATGTAAAAATATAACAACGTATATACTGATAATGAGCATAATAGTATGCAAAAACTAAAGTTGGTGAAATAACATAAGGAAATGTTCCCCATATATAATGACACACACCACTATTCCTTAATATAAATGATATGGTTTTGTGAGCCACGGCAATACTCAAGCACATCTTTTTTTTTTACCTTCAGCAAATAGTACAAGAATGCGATACATGGAAGGCACTTTTGGCAACACGAATAAAGAGAACTGAGCCTTCTTTCTTAAAAGGACTATGTTGAGTTGTAAAAAAACTCATATTTTTGACCAAGTGTATAACCACGAAACAATGCAAAGTTTACTATCGATAATTCCGTTGTATAACCAAAACTTGTGAATTTGTCCCATTTTAATGTTGAAATAAATATTCAGTGTATCCTGGCAACTCTGTTTACCTCCATTGGGACGTATTTTGGGTCATAGGATGTGATTTAGCCTTTTATTGTTAAATATATGTAAGCTGGCGTAGGTTAAGGTCTTTTTATGCATTGTGCTGAATCAATAGCACCTCTGAAATATGTGTATACATGCTGTCATTAGCTGTTACCTAGATTTGCTGTCTAGATTTGCTGTCTATATGATCAAAAACAGAGAACTACTTTTATGTACATGAAATACTACACAGAATATTTATTAAGTTTTGTTGATGGCTTTCTAAGAAATAAAATAAACAAGGTATACATGAATTGATAATCAACATACATACATTTGGACTCATTTAAATTTTACTTATTGAAAAACAAAATGGGAAAATATATGGTAAAAATAAAAAGTTATGTACGAAAGGGTACATACAACTTTGGTTATAATTTTACCATTGTTAAAGGTTTTTTTTTCTTGTCAAGTCATACGCTAGAATTAAGGTTACTAATATAATAGTACTACTAGGAAAGACAACAGCCAGAATTTGGTCTGTATTAGTAATTAGTCGTATCAAAATATCTATCAGATGTTGACTTGAAAATTTGAAAGTGGTAAGGTAGCAGCTAAACTGTGAATGTTACTCATTCCTATGCAAACTGGAATACCATCAGTAAAATTTATTTGTCGTTACATATAGTTTTTTCAATAGTTTTCACTTCCTTGCAAAATATTTAACCTCAGACAGTATGTAACCTGGTGTTTTTTTGTTTTTCTTAAAGTTTCTTTTTCCACGAAATGTGGTGTCTACAACGTTTTAAAACTTATATGCCTATATTCCTTTAAAGTCCGCTGATGTTGATTGAAGGCAATCATGCAAGTGAATTATTTTAAGTAACTAAACACCTAAAAGGTATGATAAACGGAAACTGTCGCCGACGGTAAATACCGAAAATGAGCGGAAAATACGTTTATTTACGATGACTTAGTGGGCGGGACAATGGGCGGAGCTTATTTTAACTCCTATTGAAAAACGTGTAAAGCTGGATTATGCTGATCTGAATCATGATGGTTCGACAATGTAAAGCTAAGAATGTAACTTCTGTTTTGTGTATTCGAACACTTGGTATTGCTACTATAAGTCAATGCTTTGTCGTTTAACAAAATGTACTTTGTTGAAATGCATGTTTACAATGTAAAATCGGCAAACTCAATCCAAGTATGCAACATTGGAGTTTACATACAAAGAAATACAATCGTATTTTTTCCATTAACAAACTGTTCAACTCAGATCAACAAGGCTGGATTTTTGGCACCGAATAGCCTCCATATGTGCGCTATGTTCATTGCAGCACCTGATGAACTTGAAATGCCTATATAAATAATGGGAAGAGTGCAGAAGAATTAGGATATACATTTTGTTAAAGTTAAACATGTTTAATAACACGAACAAAAACAACCAGAACATGAAGAGTAGAGAACTGTAAGCTTGAGGAGGACAATTTATCAGTTGATTTCTGTAAAATGCTTTTCGATAGATATCACTGTCTTTGAAATTCGTATATGTCAAAGCAACCTCGCCCAATAATTGTTAATCTTCATAGCTACTAGGACCGTTAACACGTTCGTACTGCAAAATTTAGTATAAAATATGAGCTAAATATCAAAAAGCTCGGAGTTCAAATTCTTTCGGAATGGCGAGATGAGCGTAAACCGTTATATTCTTTAGTTGATTGGGAGCGAAAGAAGGGGCCACAAGAAGTATCTTTTAAAAGATACTCAGCCGAAATACTAATTTCTTAACATGCATAATTATGTTATTTTTAAGATGCAAAGTTTGCATAACAATGACGTAATAATTATTTCTTTTATAAGTAGCTAATTAAATTCCCATTTTTAAATATTGAAATACAATTATAGCATATTGATATTGGTGATATTTTAAAGTAGGATAACTTCTTTTTTAGGTGTCAATAATTTTACTTGTTTTAGGTTTGACTTTATAAATTTTGCAATCACTTACAAATTTTCCTAAAAGACATCTGTCCTCATACTTGTACATTTTATTTGAGAACTATCATGTGCCTCTTATTTTAAAG